GAGGCCCCCAGCTGATGACCCGTCCCCATCGCCGTGATCCTCTGGGTCGGGCTTCCCCGACTCCACGCGACCGTGACCACATCCAGGTCGCCCCGAAAACACAGACATGTCCCCTTTGACCTGATGTTACCACTCTCGTCATCTCAGGGACTGTCTGGCGCCCCCCCTTCCCCGACCTGGGGGCTTGTCAGCCCCGTGCAGCGGACGATCTACGCACACGCGCACGCCTGGCCCGGGGACACCTGAGGTTACCTGACCACATAGAACCCCTCCCCATCTCTTCTGACCCGAGGATTCTCCCTCTCGCTCTCCCTGTGACCGTGTCTGGGGTGAGGGGATGGGGGGGCTCCCTTCTCCCCTGCCCCCCGTGACAGTGACTTTGGCATTGGGCTCAGTAGACCCCCCTCCCACATACATCAGGCCCCCTCAAATCTCTGTGACCAGTTTCACTGTTACCATCTTGGTGAGCGTGTGGTGTCTGATCTCTCCAGAAATGCACATCGACCCCCAGCCAGCCCGGTGACTTTGTCACCTGTTTTCAAGTGATGGCTCCCCTTCCCTTCACACCCACACCCACCTGATCTGGGGACACCTGAGGCCAGTGTGACTCTAGGCCTGCCCCCGACCCCCCAGCACACATCCTCCTGCTTTCTGATGAATCCCGCCATCTCCGTACCTACTTCCCTGAAACCTTGTCATCCTAGATCAGTACCTCTCACTCTGCACACTCCTGGCTTGGGAACACTGACCATATCTAGTCTCTTGGCTTTTTGCCCAAGAGCCTGGTCTGTAAATCCTCTGGGCTGGAGGGAATCAGATTTTCAAACCCTGCGAACACCACCCCTGACCCGTGATCCTTTTTGTGTCTTGACCCAGTAAAATGCTCTCATGTGTCCTCTGATGTGACCTTTGTAGTTTATTTAGCTCTCTATGGAGTCATTAGGACAAACGAGAAAGGTACCCCCTGTATGTGGGCACCCCACCCCATTCCCTGGTCACCCAGCCTGACCTTCACAACCTGACACTCTCCTGTCACTCTCTCTCCTGACCTGAGTCAGCATGGGTTCCTCCTTGGGGAATTTCTTGGGGTCCAGAGAAATCATGGAGGTGGAGATTGTGGCACAGGACACTGCCTGGGACAAGAAGCCCAGCTAAGACACGGGTCCCTGCTAGCCCCTGGGGCTGCCCCCCCGGCCCCTGAGTGGATGAGACAGGGTTGGGTCCAGGGTCCCCGGTGCCTTCAGGGGTGGCGGGGTGCCTTCATGGGTGGCCGTTCCCATGCAGAGCTAGGAGGCCGGTGGCAGGCAGGCCCCCGAGGAGTCCCCTCCAGGCGTCTGTGTCTGTGTCAGCTCCATCCCATCCTCCCCGCCCTCCCCATCTCTGTCGGTTCCTGGCCATGTCTGCAGTTCGGTGCCTCCCCCCCTCCTCCTCGTTTATGATTTGATTTCTTTTCTTTTGGACGAATCGGTCGTTTCTGTTGTGATTTATCGTGGTGTTGTTTTTTTTCTTCCTTCTCCCCATCCAGTTATTGTGATCACTCTAAGCCCTGCTCCTGCCCCGTCCCAACGAGCAGGTACCAGCCTTTTTATCATCGCTGCTTGGACATCTGCACCATTGACCTAACCGCTGCCCCGGCCGCAGAATGGCGTCCCCCGGCCCCCATGCTCTGTGTGTGTCCCCATGTCCCTTCCCCTCTCACTTTCTCTCTCACTCCACTCAAGCAGCGGTCAGCCCAGCCCGGCCTCTTCTGTCCTCCCTCCTCCTCCCCCTCCCTTCCTCTCGCCTCCATTTTGGACTCCCTGGAGGAGGAGGTGGGCTCCCCACTGAATGGGAGTCTATGGCCTTCAAGGGCGTGCACGCCTGTGTGTGTGTAACTGAAAGAGAAAGTCGGGCCTGGTGGGTGGCCTGTGCCTATGGATCTCTCTCAATAACTAGATGAACACATAGCACTCCCCCTTCCCGGGTGCCATAGCATCCCTGGGCGCCAGGGACACAGCAGTGAATAGAACAGACGGAGCCCCTCTCCTCTGTAGCGGGGGCTGTAGTAGGGGGGCCCATTGGACAGGGAGCACATTCCCACCAGAGAGAACATTCTAGCCGGGTGAGTGGCCCTGCAGGGGGCCAGCCTGGGGGAACCTCTGGAGAAGGTGGGCATTGAACAAAGCCGCTGGGGAGGCCTGGCACAGTGGCTCATACCTGTAATCCCAACACTCAGGGAGGCTGAGACAGGAGGATCATCTGAGCCCAGGAGGTCGAGGCTACAGTGAGCCATGATCACACCACTGCACCCCAGCCTGGGTGACAGAGCAAGATCCTGTCTCAAAAATTTAAAAAACGGGCCAGGCGCAGTGGCTGATGCCTGTAATTTCAGTATTTTGGGAAGCCAAGGAGGGTGGATCTCTTGAGGTCAGGAGTTCGAGACCAGCCTGACCAACATGGTGAAACCCTGTCGCTATTAAGAATGCAAGACATTAAGCCAGGCGCGGTGGCTCACACCTGTAATCCCAGCGCTTTGGGAGGCCAAGGTGGGCGGATCACCTGTGGTCGGGAGTTCGAGACCCCAACATAGAGAAACCCCGTCTCCACTGAAAATACAAATCAGGCGGGCATGGTGGCGCATGCCTGTAATCCCAGCTACTCGGGAGACCGAGACAGGAGAATAGCTTGAACCCGGGAGGCGGAGGTTGCAGTGAGCCGAGATCGCTCCATTGCACTCCAGCCTGGGCAACAAGAGTGAAACTCCATCTAAAAAAAAAAAAAAAACATAAAAGAGATTAGGTGGAGGTTGCAGTGAACTCAGATCGTGCCACTGCACTCCAGCCTGGGCAACAGAGCAAGACTCCGTCTCAAAACAAAACAAAAAAAATGTAAAAAGCGTCTTGAAGGAGGTGGGGGGAGAGAAGACAGCCCTGCCCGGGCTCTGAGCGTAGTGCCAGCCTGTGGTGGGCATGCAGGCTGTGCCCCACGCCTGTGTTGGGAGAGGGAGTAGATGGGGTGCCTGGCCCTGTGAGTGACTGTGAGTGTGTGTGTGTCCGATGGGCAATGGGGACTCTGTCCCAGCTGCATGGGTGTTGGGTCCACAGCGGCATGCCCCGCGTGTGTGTTGTGCTTGTGTGCACTTGCACGGCGTGTGCGTGCATGTTGACATGGCAGCCTGCACACCTGTGGCTCCTGTCAGCAGACACGTGCCCTCCAGCCTCTCGCTCTCTCTCATCCATTCTTTCTCTCTCATCCTCACCCTCTTGCTGTCACTCCACCCTCCTGAGCTGCCATGTGGCCATCACCACCTCTGTGGCCTCTGTTCTCAGGGCCTTTGTGTACCTCCTTCCCACAGTGCCTACCTGAGCCCTCCCTTCCATTCCCCCGTGCTCCAGTCTGTAGGCCAGCAGCCTCCTCCCCGGGCTCTGGGGCCGCCCTCAGAAGGCCTGGTGGGCTGTGCCGGGGAGGGGGCCCACAGGACTCCTCGAGGGCTGTGGTCCTCACCCCCTGAGTGCAGGGCAGGAGTGGGACTCAGATACTCTCTGAGGGCGGGAACCACGCAGTGTCTCAAGAGACACCAGGTGCACAGGGGTTGGGGGCTGGGTGTGAGGGGAGCACAGGCCCTCGGGAGCCAGAAGAGGATCGGGGCTGTGGCTCGGGCCATGGACAGAGCAGAGGCACAGGGACCTGAAGAAGCAGAGGGGGGAACCTGGCCAACGCAGCGAGATCCCGTCTCTACTAAAAAGACAAAGATTAGTTGGGCATGGTGGCGTGTGCCTATAATCCCAGCTACTCAGGAGGCTGAGGCAGGAGAATCACTTGAACCTGGGAGGTGGAGGTTGCAGTGAGTTGAGATCACGCCATTGCACTCCAGCCTGGGCGACAGAGTGAGAACCTATCTCAAAAAAAAAAAAAAAAAAAGCACCAGTGGGAGGTGACGTGGTGCTGTAGAGGCTGCAGTGGCCAGGACAGCGGGAGGGGCATGGGAGGTGAGGCCTCTAGGCCAGTTAGGAAAGCTGGGTCTGACTGTGTCTCCAGGTCCCCAGAGCCCTTCCCCAGCTCCTGCCTGGTCCTCCAGGAGGGGAGCAAGGGGACACAGCTCCTGCAGGGGCTGGTGGGACCAGGTAGGGGCAGTGCTGGGCCTCCTGATTGAGACTGAGGTCAGCGTCCTCCTGCCTCTCCTACTGGCTGAGATCAGGGTCCCAGGCACCCAGGGGAGGAACAGGGTTTAGCTGCCAGCATGGAGTGGGTCTGTCTGTTCGTGTTAGTCCCTGGGCACCAGTCACCAGGAGCCTGCAGAACTGTGGGAAGAAAAGGTGGACGAGGCAGGAGGAAGAGAGGGAGAGAGGGGGTTGTCTGTTGAGGGCTTTGGGAGAGCGGCAGGCCCCAGCCCCTGTGGGAGGGGCACCTTGGGAGGTGTGTGTAGCTGTTGTCAGGGCCTCTGGGATGTGAGGTGTCAGGATTGGCTCCTCTGGAGGCCACGTTGGCATCCCGGCCTCTGTTCCTGCACCCCATCGCCAGCCCAGCCAGCGAGACCCTAGCTCCTCCAGGAAGCTGCCCTCCTGTCCCAGGCCCCTCTCTGGCCTGTCTGTGCAGTGCCTCCTCTGGGCACCTGGGCCCAAGTCTTGGTTCCTGTCTGTCTGTCTGTCTCCTGCCCTCCCACCCCTAATGCTGCCTGCCCGCCCCAGGGTGCCCGCTGCCTGCCCGCCGCCTGCCCGCCCGCTGTAGCATGCCCGAGCTGCCCGCATGCAGGCTGCTGGATGAGCCAATCCCTGCCTGGCCCAGCATTGGCCCCACCTGGTCCCGCCAGCCCCTGCAGGAGCTGTGCCCCCCAACTCTCCTCCCAGATGATGCAGGCCCCCTGAGGTCCTGTCCTGCCCCCACGGGCCCCAGCTCTGCAGGCCAGGCCGGGAGGCCCCCGTGTCAGCCCACTGGCCCGAGGGGGCCCTCCCGACCCCGGAACAGAACATGGGGCAAGGCAGCCTGAAACCTGCAGCCTGAAACCTGGGTCTCGTGCCCACTGCCTCCCCAGGGTGGCCCCGCTTGCTCTCGTCTGGGAGCCAAGTTTAGTGCTACCAGCAGAGCCACAGCCCGGGCCAGCCCCGGCAGGCACTCCACCCCCGCCTATCCAGCCTGTGGGCGCTGTGGTCCTGGGCCTGCTTCCTGGGCAGAAGTGGGAGGAAGCGCCCACACCTGTCAGGGAGGCTGCCCGGCCGAGGGACACCTCAGGTCCCCGTCCTGTTTCTCCGTCAGCGTAGACTTGGGGCTCCCTCTCCCCTGCCAGCCTCTTCCATTTCTTTCCACGTCAGGGATGAGACAAGGGACCCTGAGGACAGTCTGGGGTGGGAGGGAGACCCCAGCTCCTCCAGCCCAGCAGGGCAGGGGCTGTACCGGCCTAGCTGGGGAAGCCCAGGAGGGGAAGGTGAGGGTCCCGACCTCTCCCCGGAGTGCCAGATGTGGAGCTGAGACCAGCTGGGTGCTGACCCCTCCCCTGCCACTGGTTCTCACCCCCCCAGCCCTGCAGCTCCCGCTGGCCAACGATGGGGGCAGCCGCTCGCCATCCTCGGAGAGCTCCCCGCAGCACCCCACGCCCCCCGCCCGGCCCCGCCACATGCTGGGGCTCCCGTCAACCCTGTTCACGCCCCGAAGCATGGAGAGGTGAGCCAGGGGCCCGGCAGGGTTGGGTGGGAAGCAGCATTGAGGGGCCACCGTGCCAGCCTCGAGGAGGGTGGTTAAACCGGTGAGAACCCCGGTATGGGGGGCTGGAGTGGCCAATCTAAGGTCAGGACCCACCTCCACCGGCACCTGCTCTGTGTCCCCAGCATTGAGATTGACCAGAAGCTGCAGGAGATCATGAAGCAGACGGGCTACCTGACCATCGGAGGCCAGGTACCACCTTCACTGTGGCGGGAAAGGGAGGAGGCCCAGCCAGGCTGGACCCATCCTGGGGGTGCCAGTGGGGGGCGGGGGGCGGTGACAGAGGCCCCGGGGACCCTCCAACCCTCCCTCTCCTCCCAGCGCTACCAGGCAGAAATCAACGACCTGGAGAACTTGGGTGAGATGGGCAGCGGCACCTGCGGCCAGGTGTGGAAGATGCGCTTCCGGAAGACCGGCCACGTCATTGCCGTTAAGGTGAGCCTTGGCAGCTACCCCAGCTGCGCCCCACACCCCGGGCCGGTGCTAAGGCTCCCTCCTGTCCCTGCCTGTGCAGCAAATGCGGCGCTCGGGGAACAAGGAGGAGAACAAGCGTATCCTCATGGACCTGGATGTGGTGCTCAAGAGCCATGACTGCCCTTACATTGTGCAGTGCTTTGGGACGTTTATCACCAACGTGAGTCCCCAGCCGTGCCAGGTGCCCCCTCCCCCGCACCCTGCAGGGTCTCCTCCTCCCTCACCCCCTGCCCCTTCCCAGGGAGCAGAGCCTCTGGGGGCTGGGCCAGAAGACACAGCTCCCCCGGGAACCCCCTCTTACTGCAGACGGACGTCTTCATCGCCATGGAGCTCATGGGCACCTGTGCCGAGAAGCTCAAGAAGCGGATGCAGGGCCCCATCCCCGAGCGCATCCTGGGCAAGATGACAGTGGCGGTGAGTGGCCGGGGGGGGCGTGCACCGGGCAGGTGGCCTTGGGCCTGTGCCCCCGGTCACATGCACCCTCGTCTGCCTACCTGCAGATTGTGAAGGCGCTGTACTACCTGAAGGAGAAGCACGGTGTCATCCACCGTGACGTCAAGCCCTCCAACATCCTGCTGGACGAGCGGGGCCAGATCAAGCTCTGCGACTTCGGCATCAGCGGCCGCCTGGTGGACTCCAAAGCCAAGACGCGGAGCGCCGGCTGCGCAGCCTACATGGCGGTGAGTGGGGGCCCTCCAGCGGGGGAGGGGTGGGGCCTGGGAGCCCGGCCCAGACTTGGAGATACATCTTCTCCTCCTCCTCCTGTAGCCCGAGCGCATTGACCCCCCAGACCCCACCAAGCCAGACTATGACATCCGGGCCGATGTATGGAGCCTGGGCATCTCGTTGGTGAGTTAGGGCCCTGCCCCTTCTCTCTAGCCAGGAGTGAGGGCTTCTGGGGGACTCGGAGGGAGGAGAACACAAACCTGTCCTGGCCGGTCCAGCCCTGCCCATCTCCCTCCCAGGTGGAGCTGGCAACAGGACAGTTTCCCTACAAGAACTGCAAGACGGACTTTGAGGTCCTCACCAAAGTCCTACAGGAAGAGCCCCCGCTTCTGCCCGGACACATGGGCTTCTCGGGGGACTTCCAGTCCTTCGTCAAAGACTGGTGAGACCCTCCCTCCGCTTGGGAGGTCGGGCAGTCCGCTGCTCTGGGCAGCCGGGGAGGCAAGGCGGGAGCGGAATGGAGGCCCCACCCTGGGATGGGTGGATGCGCCTGTGGGCGGGCTCGTGGCTGGTGGCTGCAGACAGGAGCTGGAGCTGGTACCTGGGGAGCCACGACCTGGGTTTGGACCTGCCCGAGGGGACAGCCAGCCCTGTAGCATTTGGCAGGGTGGCTGTGGGAGATTGTGAGCACGCTTCTGCAACAGACACAGCTACAAGTGCAGGAGGGCCATGTCTGATTCTCTCGGAAGCCCCACCCAAGTTTCTGGGGGACCTCAGCCAGCTCTGGCCCCCGAAGTCAGGCCCTTGCCACCTAGCCAGGAGGCTCCGGGACTCAAAGTTGCTCCCAGCTGTCAGCCGGGGTCCTGAGGACATCCACAGCTCCTTCCGCCACACACATCTTGGGGACCGCTGGCTCCTTGGGGAGGGCCTGACCACGGGGGTGGGACCAGCATCCCCTCCTGCCCTACTCTCACATCTGTCTTCCGTTCTCTTCCTCTAGCCTTACTAAAGATCACAGGAAGAGACCAAAGTATAATAAGCTACTTGTGAGTACCTGGGGCCCTCCCAGTCCCCGTCCTGTCCCTGCAGCGGCGCGAGGCCCAGAGGGAAGACCCTCTCCTCCTAAGCCCCACCCCCTCGGGCCCACAGGAACACAGCTTCATCAAGCGCTACGAGACGCTGGAGGTGGACGTGGCGTCCTGGTTCAAGGATGTCATGGCGAAGACTGAGTCACCGCGGACTAGCGGCGTCCTGAGCCAGCCCCACCTGCCCTTCTTCAGGTAGCTGCTTGGCGGCGGCCAGCCCCACAGGGGGCCAGGGGCATGGCCACAGGCCCCCCTCCCCACTTGGCCACCCAGCTGCCTGTCAGGGGAGACCTGGGACCTGGACGGCCACCGAGGGCTGAGGACAGAGAGTGGGGGGTGCCCACCCACCCCCCCGCCCCGGGCCTACCAGGCCCCTGCCCTTCCCACCCGGGGTAAGCCGGCCGTGTGCGTCCCCCGACAGACACTGTGAACGGAAGACAGCAGGCCGCGAACAGAGTCGCTGTTCATTCAGCCGCAGCCTCTGGGCCGGGGCGGCCCCCAGGGGCCAGGAGAGAGCCCCCGAGTCCCGCAGCCACCACGCTCCCAGCGTGCTGTGCCCTTCGCCACTCCCACGCACCTGTTTCTCCTCCGTCACCCTCTGTCCTCCGCTCTACCTCTCTGTCCTTGTCTGGCTCTCCCGTCACCCTCCCTGCCTCTGTCTCCTGGCCTGAGCCTGTGCCCAGCCACCTCCTGACAGGTCCCCTGGGTCTGCATAGGTCTCCCGTGGCGCAATGAGTCAGCGGCCCCCAGCCAGGCGGTGTGGGCATTGCCACTGCTGCCAGATGGGGCTGCGCGCGCGCTCTCTCTCTCTCTCTCTTTGATCTCAGGGGGTCCTTTTTGGAGTTTATTGTATTTTATTGTACTTGGTGGGGTGTTTGGGGTGGTGGGAGGAGAGCTTGTTCTCATGGGGTTTGTCGGTACCTTCAGAAACTTTTACCAAAGTCACGTTTAGCTGCTTGTCGTGTGGCCCCAACTGCCCTCGGGCACTGGGGGGCTGGGCTGGGGCCGCTGCTCTGGGGTCTCTGGGAGCCACAGCTTGGGGGTGAGTTGAAGACCTCAGGGGGTGCGGAAGGGTCTGCGGGGCCCTCACTGCACAGGATGGCCTTCAGGGAAGGTGGGCACGGGGCATGGCACAGAGCAGGTGACCGGAGGGAGTCGGTGACAGAGCGGGGCCAAGGGAGGGGTCCGGAGGGAGTCCGGGATCGAGGGCAGAGGGAGTGGATATGGGGGTTTGAGGACGTATGACAAGCTCCAGCAGGGGTAGGGGCCGGGCTGAGGGTGGGGGTGTGAGGCGGTCACCCCCATCGTGCCCTTGGCCGTTCCTCCATTCACCCACACCTGGCCCAGCCCACGTTGAGGTGCAGGACTGGGAAGGCCCGAGTGTGTGCACCGGGGGCCCAGGCCAGGTGCCCCCCCGAGCCCGCTGGGGTGGCCAGAGCAGGAGGGGGTGTGTTTCCTTTTTGTGGGTGTTGCATGCAAATCAAGTGAACAAGAAAAAATAAAACAAAAAACAAGAAAAAAAAAAACAAAATCCCGTAAAACCACAAAGAAAAACCAACACCAAAGGCGCAGAAGCCGGCTGGCTGTGGCGGGGGCAGCGTAGGTAGCATCCCTCTCCTCACCTAGCCTGTTGACTCTTGTTATGATATTCACAAAACGCCGCATGTTTAAAAAGTCATAGACGTCATCTTCTCTCTGCCCCCAGCGGGGAGCGCCACCTTCTCTTGCCCCTTGGTCCGTTTGTCAGGGGCCAGGGGTCTGCTGGGTGGGGGTGCCAACAGGCCTGGCCCTTTTCTCCTCCCGTGTCCAGCCATGGGGGCCTCTGCGGATTCCCGGAAGGTTGCATGGCTGGTCCCAGGACCAGCACAGGCCTGAGGCCGGGCTGCCTGGTTTTATTTTTATTTAACTTTATTTTCTGTTTTATGAGTGTGTGTCCGCCCACCCCCACCCCCTTCAGTGTTAAGTGGGGAGCCCTGGGGGAGTCTCTCCTGCCTCCCAGCCTCTCCCAAGACCTCCCCCCTCATCACCAGCCATCCCTCTGGACCAGGCAGAGGGCGGACCGGGCGGGCAGGGGCCTGAGGGTGGCTCGGGCCAGCCCACCAGCCAATGGACCCCTCCTCAGGCCGCCAGTGGCGCCCTGCCCCTTTTTAAAACAAAATGCCCACATTTGTAAACCCTTAGACGCTTGAGAATAAATCCCTCCCTTTTCTTCCACTGAGTCTGTGGTGTGTCATGGGCCTGGCAGGGCGGGGGGCATGGGCCTGGCAGGGCGGGGGGCAAGGGGGTGGGTGTCGGGGGAGGCCTCTGCTTTGAGGGGAGACTGAGGTAGGTTTGGGAGCTGAACGGGAGGTGTTTGTAGTGACTTGCCAATGGATATCAAGCAGCTGGTGTGAGGGACCCCCTACCCCCATTAGCCACAGGTCGGGCAGCAGAGGATCCCTTAATCCCTCCAGGCCTTGGACATTGGCTCTGGTGTCAGCCCCTCAGTCTGCCACCCCCGCTCCCTGCCTCCCTCCTGGCCAAGGACAGGGCCGCCTGCCCACGTGCGGGACCTGGGTGCAGCCCAGCTGGTGTCTGCTCTGGCCCCGAACACTCCGACTTCAGCTGGTCCAGCATGCTGGGCACCGTGCTACTGCTGGCCCTGCTCCCAGGGATCGCCACCTTGCCCAGCGGGCCACCTGGTATGTATGAGCAGGGAGGTGACCGGTCTGTCATGCTTCTATCACTATGTCACCCTCTTTACTTTTTTTTTTGAGATGGAGTCTTGCTCTGCCACCCAGGCTGGAGTGCAGTGGTGCAATCTCGGCTCACTGCAATCTCCCCCTCCTCTGTTCAAGCGATTCTCCTGCCTTAGTCTCCTGAGTAGCTGGGACTACAGGCATGCAACACCACGCCTGGCTAATTGTTGTGTTTTTTAGTAGAGACAGGGTTTGCCTATGTTGGGCAGGCTGGTCTTGAACTCCTGACCTCAGGCGATCCACCCGCCTCGACCTCCCAAATTGCTGGGATTACAGGTGTGAGCCACCGTGCCTGACCGGTGTCACTCTTTTTCAACTAGACCTCTGGTCCTCCTCTCGGGGTGGGGACGGGGCAGGGGAGTGGGATGGGGTCTCTGTCCTCCATCCCAAGGGTGGCTCACAGCCCCACTTTGGCAAAGCTCCCTGCAGCCACGGAGAGGGCCGTTCTACCCAGGCACTCTTCAGAAGTGGGTATGTGGGGATGGATGAGGGGGCTCATGCCTGTAATCCTAGCACTTAGGGAGTCTGAGGGTAGAGGATCGCTTGAGACCAGGAGTTCCAGACCAGCCTGGGCAACATAGAACCCTTATGGCCATGTTGGTGAGTGTCTGTGGTCACAGCTACTGGAGAGGCTGAAGCAGGAGGATGACTGGAGCCCAGGAGGTGGAGGTTGCAGTGAGCTGTATTCGCACTACTGCACTCCAGCCTGGGCGATAGAGGGAGACTCTGTCTCAGAAAACAAGGAAAATGGATGTGCAGGCATCTTTCGTATTTGGAGATTATCCGTTTTACCAGGACCCCGCTCAGCACCTCCTGAAGGCAGACATCAGTGTGTGTGTAGGGGCACGGAGAGGGGAGGGGACCCCATGGCTGCCTTAGCCTGGACAGGTGGAAGCGTCTCAGATCTTGGTGGCCTGGCTGGGCTTTGGCTGTGCCCAGGAGAGCCTCTAGGGAAGGTATCCTCTTCACTTCCCTTCCTCGTTGGTGACAGCACCTATGTCCCCTTAGAAAGGGGAACCGTCGGTCCTGCTGCGTCCCCAGGAGCAGCCCTGGGGAAGGTGGGGGAGCTCTGACTTCACCCAGCCGGACCCCACCATCGGGTGCTCCTCACCGCGTCTCTTCCGCCCCAGGGAGGCCTTCGCCAGCTTCGGAGGCTTCTCTAGGGGCTCATGGCTCTGCAACCGGCTCAGCTGCTGGGCTGTGCGGGTCCCAGGGGTCGCCGGGGGCACATCACCGTCAGGGGGAACGTGGCGGGGAGCCAGTCATGGGTGAATCCGCCGCCGCAACTGCATCCCTTTTCCAAAGGCGGCGGCGGGGGCGAGGTGGTCCGGTCACTTTTCCCAGAGGCCTAAAGGGCAGCGCGCGTTTTCTCTCTGGGCCGCCCTTCCCGCCCCCCCCACCTCCC